AGTACCATTTCCTGGTATCACTGTGAGCTAGAGTACAATCCGTATCACCAGTGATGCTAGAAGTACATCCTGTACCCGACCCTGATGCTGAGAACATCCTGGTACCAACCATTTGATTGCTATAAGTAACATCCTGGTACCAACCCGTGATGCTAGAGTACAATCCTGGGATCAACTGTGATGCTGAGTACATCCTGGTATCACCAATGATGCTAGAGTCATCCTGGTACCACCAGTGATGCTAAAAGTACAACCTGGTACCACCGTGATGGCTAGAGTACATCCTGGTATCACCAGTGATGTCTATATACATCCTGGTATCACCAGTGACGCTAGAGTACATCCCTGGTATCACCAGTTATGCTAGAGAACATCCTGTAGCACTAGTGATGGCTTAGAGTACATCCTGTCATTCACCAGTGATGCTATGAGTACAAATCCTGGTAACACGCAGTGGAAGGGCTAGAGTACATCCTGGTACCACCAGTGATCTAGAGTACATCCTGGTACCACAGTGATGCTAGAGTAACGGATCCCTTGGACCGACCATGTGCTAAGTACATCCAGGTACCACCAGTGAGGCTAGAGGTACATCCTGGGTATCAGCAGTGATGCTATAGTACATCCTTGTATCAACCAGTGATGCTAGAGTACATCCTGGTATCACACCAGTGATGCTAGAGTACATCCTGGTACCAGCAGTGATGCTAGAGTACATCCTGTTATCACCAGTGATGCTAGAGTACACCTGGTTATCACCAGTGATGCTAGAGTACATCCGGTATCACCAGTGATGCTAGAGTAACACGCTGTACCAGCAGTGATGCTAAGAGTACATCCGGGTAATCACCAGTGATGCTAGAGTAACATCCTGGTATCACCAGTGATGCTAGAGTAACAACCTGATATCACCAGTGATGCTAGAGTACATCCTGTTAACACCATTGATTCGAAGTACATCCTGGTACCACCATAGATCTAGAGTACATCTCAGGTATCACTAGAGTGCTAGAGTACAATCCATGGTACCACCAGTGATTGTAGCGAAGAGTACATCCGTTACCACCAGTGAAGCCATAGTACATCCTGGAACCACCATAGATGCTAGAGTACATCCTTGTACACCATAATGCTAGAGTACATCCCAGGTACCACCAGTGATGCTAGAGAACACCAGATCACTATTGATGCAAGAGACATCCTGGTACACTATTGAGCTAGAGTAACATCCAGGTACCACCAGTGATGTAGAGTACATCCTGGTATCACTAGTGATGCTAGATACATCCAGGTACCGACCAAGATGCAAGAGTACACCCTGGTATCACTAGTGAAGTTTAGAGTAACATCGCAGGATATACTATTGATGTAGAGTACAACCTGGTATCACTAGTGATGTTAGAGTACATCCTGGTATCAACTAGTGAAGTTAGAGTTCTTCCTGTAATCATCAAGTGATGTCAGAGTACAATCCTGGTATCACTAGTGAAGCTAGAGTACATCCTGGTATCACTAGTGATGCTAGAGTACATCCTGGAATCTCTAGGTAACCTGTCCAGAAAAAAATATATCAAAATTAATAGAAAAAAAAAATCTTAGAATTAAATCAAGGTCAATTAAGTACATAACAAAATCAAGGTCAATTAAGACCTAACTAATCAAGTTCAATTTAAGGACAAGAAAACTACATCAAAGTCAATTAAGGACATAACAAATCAAGTCAATAAAGGACATGATATCTAAATCAAGGTCAATTAAGGACATAACTAAGTCAAGGTCAATTAAGGACATGATAACTAAATCAAGGTCAATTAAGGACATAACTAAAATTCAAGTCATATAAGGACATGATTAACATAAATCAAGGTCAATAAGACATAACTAAATCAAGGTCAATTAAGGACATGAAAACTAAGGTAAATTAAGACAGGAAAAAATCAAGGTCAATTAAAAACATGATAACAAAATCAAGGTCAATTAAGGACATAACTAAATCAAGGTCAATTAAGAACATGATAACTAAATCAAGGTCAATTAAGGACATGATAACAAAATCAAGGTCAATTAAGGACATGATAACTAAATCAAGGTCAGTAAAGAAGGTAGATAGCAACACAGTAAGGACAATAAGAAGAGACAGTTGATAACTGAAGTCACAAAGACAACTTGCCATCATAAACAGACTAATTGATCAATAAAGCCAGAATGTCCCGTTGCTGGGTTGGCAGCGCACCTGCCTCACACACCGAATTTCGTAGTTCGATCCCCAGTATGGATAGCAACATTAGGACGTGTTTCTTTAAGACACCTGCTGTCCCTGTTCACCTAGCAGTAAGTAGGTACCTGGGTGTTAGTCACCTTATCCTTCCTGTCCCTGTTCACCTAGCAGTAAGTAGGTACCTGGGTGTTAGTCACCTTACCCTTGCTGTCCATGTTCACCTAGGAGTAAAGAAGGTACCTGGGGGTGTTAGTTCTCATCTTACCCTTGCTGTCCCTGTTTCACTCTAGAGTAAGTAAGTACCTGGTTAGTAGTCACCTTACCCCTGCTGACCACTCTTCACCTAGCAGTAATTAGGTACCTGGGTTTAGCACTTACCCCTGCAGGTCACCTTCTTCACCTAGCAGAAGGAGGTACTGGGTGTTATCACCATCCCCCAGATGTCACTCTTCACTTAAGCAGGCAAGTAGGGTACCTAGGTGTAAGGTGAACTGGTGTGGTGTGCATCCTGGAACAAAATTTAACACTACGTTGTGTGGAAATGCTCTACATAACCAGTAACTTTTCTTATAGAAAGTCCATAGGTGTGAGCTATGGTCTGTATAAGTTGTATCATGGTACAGCAGAAATATTAATAATATTATTATTAGTTATAGTATAGTAGATGCTAATGGTAGTAGTAGTATAGTAGGTATTATGTAATGGCAGTAAAAGTAAGTGATCATGGTAGTTGTAGTATTAGTAATGGTAGTTAGTAATAGTGGATAATGGTTATAGTAGAGTAATGGTAGTATTAGTAGTAGTGGTGGTAGTAGTATTAAATGGTAGTAAGTAGTGGTAGGTGGTAGTAGTAGTAGAATGGTATAAAATAGTAATGGTAGTAGTAGTATGTAGTAGTAATAGTAATGGTATAGTAAGGTAGTGGTAGTAGTATACTGGTATGTAGTAGTAATGTAGTAGTAGTTAGTAATGGTAGTAGTATTACTTGTAGTAGTAAAAGTAATATAGTAGTAGTAATGGTAGTAGTAAATAACGTGTAGTAGTATAGTAAGGGCACAGTAATAAGTAGTGTAATGGTAGTAGTAGTAGTAGCATAATGGTAGTTAGAAGTAGTAAGTAAAGGTAAGTTAGTAATAGTAGTAATGGTAGTAGTAGTAGTAGTAATGGTAGTAGTAGTAGTAGTAGTAATGGTAGTAGTAGTAGTAATAGTAGTGGTAATGGTAGTAGTAGTAGTAATGGTAGTAGTAGTAGTAGTGGTGGTAATGGTAGTAGTAGTAGTAGTGGTAGTAGTTATAGTAGTAATGGAAATAGAAGTAGTAGTGGTAGTAGTAGTAGTAGTAATGGTAGTAGTAGTAATGGTAGTGGTAGTAGTAGTAATGGTGGTAGTAGTAGTAGTAATGGTAGTAGTAGTAGTAATGGTAGTAATAGTAGTAATAGTAGTAGTAGTAATGGTAGTAGTAATGGTAGCAGTAGTAGTAGTAGTAATGGTAGTAGTAGTAGTAATGGTAGTAGTAGTAGTTAGTAGTAATGGTAGTAGTAGTAGTAATGGTAGTAGTAGTAGTAATGGTAGTAGTAGTAGTAATGGTAGTAGTTGTAGTAATAGTAGTAGTAGTAATGGTAATGGTAGTAGTAGTAGTAGTAATGGTAGTGGTAGTTGTAGTAGTAATGGTAGTAGTAGTAGTAGTAATGTTAGTGGTAGTAGTAATGGTAGAGTATATAATGGTATAGTAGTAGTAGTAATGTATGGTAGTAGTAGTAGTAGTAGTAGTTGTAGTATAATGGTAGTGGTAGTACATGTAGTGGTAGTAGTAATGGTAGTGGTAGTAGTAGTAGTAGTAATGGTAATGGTGTATTATAGTAATGGTAGTGGTAGTAGTAGTAGTAGTAAGGGAAAGTGGTGGTAGTATGTAGTGTAGCAAGGTATGGTGGTAGTAGTTAGTAATGGTAGTAGTAGTAAGTAGTAGTAAGTAGTAATGGTAGTGGTATAGTAGTATAGTAGTAATGGTAGTAGTAGTAATGGTAGTAGTAGTAGTAAGGTAGTAGGTAGTTGTAGTAGTAATGGTAGTGGTGTAGTAGTAGTATAGAGTAATGGACTAGTAGTAATGGTAGTGATGGTAGTAGTAGTAGTAGTAAATGGTAGTGGTGGTCGTAGTGTAGTTGTAGTAGTAGTATCTGGAATGGTAGTATTAGTATAGTACTATGTAGTAGGTATAGTAGTACTGTAACTGGTATGGAAGTAGTAATGTAGTGGACTAGTAATATACGTGTACAGACTAGTAGTAGTACTTAGTAAGTAGTTAAGTGTGTAGGCTGCTAGTGTAGACAGTAATGGTATAGTACGTAGTACAAGTAGGCTAGGTAGTACTTGTAACTGGTATGTTAGTGTTAGTAGTAGATAGTAGTAGTAATGGATGGTGGAGTGTAGTAGTGACGACGTAGTAGTAATGGGATGGTGTAGTAGTAGTAGTGTAGTGGTAGTTATTAATGTATATGTAGGTGATACGATAGTAGTGGTAGTACTACTGAGTGTAGTACTAGTACGTAGTATGAGTAGATAGTAAAGTAATGGTAGTGTAGTAGTACTTAGTAGTAGTAGTAAGTATAGTAGTAGTATAATGGTAGTAGTAGTACGTTAGTAGTAAGACGTACTAAGGTAGAGTAGTAGTAATGATATAACTACTGCCGTACATACTAACCAGACATCTCCTTACTAACCTCTTACTTTATCTACTCTGTCTCGTCATTAGCTTCACAGCATACCTATTCTCTCCCCACCATCTCCTCATTCCTCAACCAGGCCAATTTCATACACTCTCTTCTTACGATAAATTTTAGGAGTTGATGAGTCGTGGTCTCCTTCACTTAACTCAAGTTTGCTGGACAGCACCTCTGTATACGGTGAAAAAATTATATATTGTGATATATTAAGATATATTATGGTATGTAATGATATATTAAGATATATTATGAGATATTAGGCATAAAAATGGGGAACATAACGTGTGTGTAGCATTCAGGACTGAAGGCTCGATACTCTGTCCTAGAACAGTTGAGTAACAATGCTGAATTAAGCATTTACAATGAACGTTATATGGAGGTATGATTATATTCTCTTTATATGGTATATGAGAGTATGCTGACAGTGTATAAAGTATGCTGACAGTGTATAAAGTATGCTGACAGTGTATAAAGTATACTGACAGTGTATAAAGTATGCTGACAGTGTATAAAGTATGCTGACAGTGTAAACAGTATGCTGACAGTGTATAAAGTATGCTGACAGTGTATAAAGTATGCTGACAGTGTATAAAGTATGCTGACAGTGTATAAAGTATGCTGACAGTGTATAAAGTATGCGACAGTGTATAAAGTATACTGACAGTGTATAAAGTATGCTGACAGTGTATAAAGTATGCTGACAGTGATATAAAGTATGCTGACAGTGTATAAAGTATGCTGACAGTGTAATAAATAGCTGACAGTGTATGAAGTATGCTGACAGTGTATAAGTATGCTGACAGTGTATAAAGTATACTGACAGTGTATAAAGTATGCTGACAGTGGTAAAAGTATGCTGACAGGTATAAACTATGCTGACAGTGTATAAAGTATGCTGACAGTGTATAAAGTATGCTGACAGTGTATAAAGTATGCTGACAGTGTATAAAGTATACTGACAGTGTATAAAGTATTCTGACAGTGTAATAAAGTATACTGACAGTGATAAAGTATGCTGACAGTGTATAAAGTAATGCTGACAGTGTATAAAGTATGCTGACAGTGTATAAAGTATGCTGACAGTGTAAAAAGTATACTGACAGTGTATAAAGTATGCTGACAGTGTATAAAGTATACTGACAGTGTATAAGTATGCTGACAGTGTATAAAGTATGCTGACAGTGTATAAAGTATGCTGACAGTGTATAAAGTATACTGACAGTGTATAAAGTATACTGACAGTGTATAAAGTATGCTGACAGTGTATAAAGTATGCTGACAGTGTATAAAGTATACTGACAGTGTATAAAGTATGCTGACAGTGTATAAAGTATGCTGACAGTGTATAAAGTATACTGACAGTGTATAAAGTATACTGACAGTGTATAAAGTATGCTGACAGTGTATAAAGTATGCTGACAGTGTATAAAGTATACTGACAGTGTATAAAGTATACTGACAGTATAAAGTAGCTGACAGTGTATAAAGTATGCTGACAGTGTATAAAGTATACTGACAGTGTATAAAGTATACTGACAGTGTATAAAGTATGCTGACAGTGTATAAGTATGCTGACAGTGTATAAAGTATACTGACAGTGTATAAAGTATGCTGACAGTGTATAAAGTATGCTGACAGTGTATAAAGTATACTGACAGTGTATAAAGTATACTGACAGTGTATAAAGTATGCTGACAGTGTATAAAGTATGCTGACAGTGTATAAAGTATACTGACAGTGTATAAAGTATACTGACAGTGTATAAAGTATGCTGACAGTGTATAAAGTATGCTGACAGTGTATAAAGTATGCTGACAGTGTATAAAGTATGCTGACAGTGTATAAAGTATACTGACAGTATAAAGTATGACAGCATATAAAATATATCCGACATAGACAAGGATGTCAGCCACAGCACCGTGTCTTCCTTTGCAGATGACACCCGAATCTGCATGACAGTGTCTTCCATTGCAGACACTGCAAGGCTCCAGGCAGACATTGCAGACACTGCAAAGCTCCAGGCAGACATCAACCAAATCTTTCAGTGGGCTGCAGAAAACAATATGAAGTTCAACGATGAGAAATTTCAATTACTCAGATATGGTAAACATTAGGAAATTAAATCTTCATCAGAGTACAAAACAAATTCTGGCCACAAAATAGAGCGAAACACCAACGTCAAAGACCTGGGAGTGATCATGTCGGAGGATCTCACCTTCAAGGACCATAACATTGTATCAATCGCATCTGCTAGAAAAATGACAGGATGGATAATGAGAACCTTCAAAACTAGGGAGGCCAAGCCCATGATACTCTTCAGGTCACTTGTTCTATCTAGGCTGGAATATTGCTGCACACTTACAGCACCTTTCAAGGCAGGTGAAATTGCTGACCTAGAAAATGTACAGAGAACTTTCACGGCGCGCATAACGGAGATAAAACACCTCAATTACTGGGAGCGCTTGAGGTTTCTAAACCTGTATTCCCTGGAACGCAGGAGGGAGAGATACATAATTATATACACCTGGAAAATCCTAGAGGGACTAGTACCGAACTTGCACACGAAAATCACTCACTACGAAAGCAAAAGACTTGGCAGACGATGCACCATCCCCTCAATGAAAAGCAGGGGTGTCACTAGCACGTTAAGAGACCATACAATAAGTGTCAGGGGCCCGAGACTGTTCAACTGCCTCCCAGCACACATAAGGGGGATTACCAACAGACCCCTGGCAGTCTTCAAGCTGGCACTGGACAAGCACCTAAAGTCAGTTCCTGATCAGCCGGGCTGTGGCTCGTACGTTGGTTTGCGTGCAGCCAGCAGCAACAGCCTGGTTGATCAGGCTCTGATCCACCAGGAGGCCTGGTCACAGACCGGGCCGCGGGGGCGTTGACCCCCGGAACTCTCTCCAGGTAAACTCCAGGTATGTAACAATATAACAATATAACATAAATTAACAGAATATAACATAAATTAACAGAATATAACAGAAATTAACAGAATATAACAGAAATTAACAGAATATAACAGAAATTAACAGAATATAGCAGAATATAACAGAAATTAACAGAATATAACAGAAATTAACAGAATATAACAATATAACAAATTAACAGAATATAACAGAAATTAACAGAATATAACAGAAATTAACAGAATATAACAGAAATTAACAGAATATAACAATATAACAGAAATTAACAGAATATAACAGAAATTAACAGAATATAACAGAATATAACAGAAATTAACAGAATATAACAGAAATTAACAGAATATAACAGAAATTAACAGAATATAACAGAATATAACAGAAATTAACAGAATATAACAGAAATTAACAGAATATAACAATATAACATAAATTAACAGAATATAACAGAAATTAACAGAATATAACAGAATATAACAGAAATTAACAGAATATAACAGAAATTAACAGAATATAACAGAAATTAACAGAATATAACAGAATATAACAGAAATTAACAGAATATAACAGAAATTAACAGAATATAACAGAAATTAACAGAATATAACAGAAATTAACAGAATATAACAGAAATTAACAGAATATAACAGAATATAACAGAAATTAGCAGAATATAACAGAATATAACAGAAATTAACAGAATATATCAGAAATTAACAGAATATAACAGAATATAACAAAAATTAACAGAATATAACAGAATATAACAGAAATTAACAGAATATAACATAAATTAACAGAATATAACAGAATATAACATAAATTAACAGAATATAACATAAATTAACAGAATATAACAGAATATAACATAAATTAACAGAATAAAAACATAAATTAACAGAATATAACAGAATATAACAGAAATTAACGAATATAACAGAAATTAACAGAATATAACATAAATTAACAGAATATAACAGAAATTAACAGAATATACCAGAATATAACATAAATTAACAGAATATAACATAAATTAACAGAATATAACAGAATATAACATAAATTAACAGAATATAACATAAATTAACAGAATATAACAGAATATAACATAAATTAACAGAATATAACATAAGTTAACAGAATGTAACATAAATTAACAGAATATAGCAAAAATTAACAGAATATAACATAAATTAACAGAATATAACATAAATTAACAGAATATAACATAAATTAACAGAATATAACAGAATATAACATAAATTAACAGAATATAATAGAAATTAACAGAATATAACAGAAATTAACAGAATATAACATAAATTAACAGAATATAACATAAAATAACAGAATATAACATAAATTAACAGAATATAACAGAAATTAACAGAATATAACATAAATTAACAGAATATAACATAAATTAACAGAATATAACAGAATATAACATAAATTAACAGAATATAACATAAATTAACAGAATATAACATAAATTAACAGAATATAACATAAATTAACAGAATATAACATAAATTAACAGAATATAACAAATTTAACAGAATATAACAAAAATTTAAAACATAAATTGACACTGTCACGTACCACACTCGTTTTACCCCTGTTAGGTATTCTCTATCATTACAGTGTCCTCCTCTTATATCCGCCTGATCCTCTAGCTTCTGCACGAATCTCTTGTGTGGAACTGTGTCCAAAGTCTTCTTACTGTGTGTGTGTGTGTGTGTTGTGGTGGTGGTGTGTGTGGTGGGGTGTGTTTTTGTGTTGTGTGTGTTTGTTGTGTGGTGTGTGTGGTGTGTGTGGGGTTTTGGGGGTGTGTGTTTGTGTGTGTGGGAGTGTTGTGTGTTTTGTGTGTGTGTGTGTGTGTGTGTGTGTGTGTGTGGTGTGTGTGTGGTGTGTGTGTGTGTGTGTGTGTGTGTGTGTGTGTGTTGTGTGTGGAGTGTGTGTGTGTTGTGTGTGTGTGGTGTGGTGTGTGGTGTGTGAGTGTGTGTTGGTGTGTGTGTGTGTGTGGGGTGTGTGGTGGGGTGTGTGTGTGTTGTGTGTGTGTTTGTGTGTGTGTGTGTGTGTTGTGTGGGGTGTGTTGTGTGTGTGTGTGTGTGTGTGTGTGTGTGTGTGGTGTTGTGTGTGTGTGTGTGTGTTGTGTGTGTGTGTGTTTGTGTGTGTGTGTGTGTGTGTGTTGTGTGTGTGTGTGTGTGTGTTTTGGGTTGTGTGTGTGTGTGTTTG